CGGGGGCGGGGGAACGAGCGCGCGCCGAGTGCCCCGACTGGTCGGCGCGCTGGGCGCTGCCTCTGCGGCCGCAGGGTCCCGGCTGCTTTCAGACTGGGCATGGGGGCGCACCGGGCACCGCGCTAAATGACCTTGCGTTCCCTTTCCCTCGGGGTTACCGCGCGGACAGCCAGGAGCTCGGCTCTAAACTGGGCCGCAGGTTCAGAGAAGGCAGCTATTCCAGGGTGAAGGGGGCCATCCGCCCCGCCTCTTCCCCCCCCACCCCGCCTTGAAGTCAAAGTCAAAGTCCAAAGTCAAGCCCGCTGACCCCGAGTTCTCCACCATGGGGAACTGCGGACAGCTCTGGCTGCTTCCCTACGAGCTGGGTCAGTTCAGACTCCGGGCCCGGATTCTGGTCCCCGACGTGTTCCGGACGCTGGTAGAGGGCCGCTTCTCAAGCCCTCGGCGATTCTGAGCGGTTCTGAGCCCCAGAGCATGAGGGCCTGGGACGCCTCCAGGGTGGGGTCCAGGGGGCGCTCACATCCCGCAGGGGGGTGACGCCTGCGATCACTTCACAAGGCAGAAATTGTTACCGCAGCAATAAAAGGCGCCGCGGCGGCGGGGGCCTGGGAGTGGGCACATGGGGGTACGGGGGTGCAGGTGCCAAGCGCCATGGGTTAGGCCCGAGATCGGAGTCCGGCCGCCCCCCGACAGCAGCCGCCTCCTGCTCCCCTCGTGCCCCGGGCGCCACCATGTCGGGCGACAAACTCCTGAGTGAACTCGGCTATAAGCTGGGCCGCACAATCGGAGAGGGCAGCTACTCCAAGGTGAAGGTGGCCACGTCCAAAAAGTACAAGGGCACGGTGGCCATCAAGGTGGTGGACCGGCGGCGCGCGCCGCCCGACTTCGTCAATAAATTCCTGCCGCGTGAGTTGTCCATCCTCCGGGGCGTGCGGCACCCGCACATCGTGCATGTCTTCGAATTCATCGAGGTGTGCAACGGGAAGCTGTACATCGTGATGGAGGCGGCTGCCACGGACCTGCTGCAGGCGGTGCAGCGCAGCGGGCGGATCCCGGGAACACAAGCGCGCGACCTCTTCGCGCAGATCGCCGGTGCTGTGCGCTACCTGCATGATCACCACCTGGTGCACCGCGATCTCAAGTGTGAGAACGTACTGCTCAGCCCCGACGAGCGCCGCGTCAAGCTCACGGACTTCGGCTTTGGACGCCAGGCGCATGGCTACCCTGACCTAAGCACCACCTACTGCGGCTCGGCAGCCTATGCTTCACCTGAGGTGCTGCTTGGGATCCCCTATGACCCCAAGAAGTACGACGTATGGAGTCTGGGCGTCGTGCTCTACGTCATGGTCACCGGGTGCATGCCCTTCGACGACTCGGACATCGCCGGCCTGCCACGGCGCCAGAAGCGCGGTGTGCTTTACCCCGACGGACTTGAGCTGCCCGAGCGCTGCAAGGCCCTGATAGCCGAGCTGCTGCAGTTCAGCCCGTCTGCCCGGCCCTCAGCGGGCCAGGTAGCGCGCAACAACTGGCTGAGGGCGGGGGACTCCGCCTGACCGCCGGGGCTCCAGCTAATCCTGCCGCCCCGGCACTGCGCGCGCGCGGCGAGTGTGCGACGGACGAACTTCCGGTTCCCGCGAAGCCGCCGCAGTCTCACGCGCACGCGCCCTCCCCTCCCCGGTCCCCGACTACTCCAACCCCAGCCCCCCGTGCTTTCCCTAGACCTGGAGAGCGGAAGGGCGCATGCGCAGTCCTGGCTCACAGCTCAAAGGTCCCCAGAGGGGACCGGGCAAGAGGAGCGGGAGGTACTGCGCCTGAGCGGAAAGAGCGACGACCCGGAGGTGGGCAGCGGGCGCCAGAGACTTGGCGAACGAATGCGAGAACGCGGAGTCCGTCCCCGGCCCGCCGAAGGCGCCAAGGCGGTGCTGGGCGCCCGCGGCGCAGCCCACCCCGGAATTTGCAATAAACTCTCGCTCTTCCTCGAAACTGGCTGTTAGCTGTGGCCCCTTTTAGGGGCAAGGTGGGGTTGGCGCTCCTGGGCGAAGAACTTTCATTTGTTCCTCTGGGAGAAACAGCCTTGGAAGAAGAGCCCTGGCCAAGGGTCAGCTGGTTCATTCCGTCTTGGTTCACCCAAGTAGTCGTTCGTTTACTGAGCGCCAGGCTTGAGACTAAGCAAAAGTTTGTACTCAACTGCAGGAGTCCGGTGGAAAGTGAAAGAAAAGGCCTGGAAAAATCGTTGTGATAAATTGGGGGTGCCTACGGGGTGTGGAGACAAGGGTTGTCTGCGATTGGGTTACTGGGTTTGGTCATAGTGGCTGTGTGTAGGGGGGTACTGGTGGGTGAACTGGTGGCTCTGGTCATGTCATGTCACACTACTCGATGGGGCTCTGGAGTACCATTCCTCGCTTCCTGTATATTTTTTAGGTTGTGGTGGTCCTCACCCTATTTTGCAGATAATAGTGCCCAGTGGGGATGGTGAGCTCCGTATTCTCGCTGAATCTCATCAGAGCTGACACAGTAAAGTAGACCTCTAGTCCAGACCTGAGTCCCTGGGTGCCACAAAAGATTAAGGGCTCAAGTACTAACTGAAAGATTGTGGTTCAAATTTACTCAGGTGCCGTGGGGAAAAGGTCTGGTGACTTGCTTCCAAGAGGCTAGTATTGAAAAGCCAATGGAGTTCTAGTCTGCACGTAGGGGGCACTGAGAGAAATAAGGTGGCAAGTGGTTCGGCTTTTGCTCCAAGTCTCCTCGTGAAATGGGGGCAGGAATCTAATCAGAGCTGTTGGGAGGGGCTCAGCCAGAGCCAGCAGGACCCTACACCCTCAGAAGGGAACCCAAACTGCTGCTTTCCTGGCCCAGCCACCCTGCCCTCTTTTCTCCAACTCTCAACTAAAGATGTCTCCCCTCACTGTGCCTGGATGCCCTCATTCCCCTATCTTGAACGTCACCTCCTGGACACCTTGTTTTCCCTTCTTGACCCCATCACAAGGTGTGACACTTACATGTTGTCACCACCCTTTTCTGTCCACACTTCCCTTTCCTGTTTGTGAGCAGACAGGTTGGGATGTTAGAAGGGATGGGGTTCCAGGGCTGGTGTCCCATTTCACAGGTGGCCCAGAGTGAACAACCTATTGACACCCACCACCCAGACTTGCCTCGGAGATTTGTGGTCGACAAGGACCTTGGTGCCCGGCCAATGATGGCCAGGACTCACACCCATGGTTCAGGAAGAGCAAGTGAGGTCATGGAGCTGAATCCCCAGAAAGCTCATCGTTTGGTGGTGTCTGTTGCACCCTTGACCAGATAGCTCTCTGCACCTGTCTACAAAATGAGGGGACCTGGCTTCTACAGATCAGGGGAAGTCCAAGGGGGTGCTGGCAGCCCCTAGGCCTAAAGAACTAAACAGGGTCACATTTTACACATTAAAGTGGTCATGGGTTTCATGCAAAAACCAAAACTCATGAGGTGGCTAGCTCTGTGCCATTTTTCTGAAATGTCTGGGGGCTGGGGGAGCGGACACGAGGCCTTGGACTCCTGTGCTCGGCACACACATAATTTCACCTACATCCATGTCCCAACATGAGTGATGCTACTCCCTGGGGGGAAGCCACTAGGATGATCCAGGGGGTTGCAAACGCTGACACCTATACTTTATATAGCATCAAAGTGTTTAACTGCCGTGGGGGGTGAGTTTGTTTCTGCAGAGGAGCAGCAGTAGGTCAACTAAGTTTGGGAACCTATGTTGGGAACCTGAAAGTGCCATACCTCTGGCTGGAAGCTGGAGGCTTTATTCCAAGGATCTGGGAGAATACAGGCACAGGCAAGGTCATGGGTTCATGCCTCTGCGAAGGGAGGGACCGCCCTCAGCCACCCTCCCACAGCCCCTTCTACAAGTTTTGGTGTTTGGGGAAAAAAGTACAGCCAACACAGGGTCCATTTCTTTATTGTCCTTCCGATTCTAGAATTGCCTCATGACAACACAGTTACCCATTCCAGCATCATATTGGAACTATCCCAGTTTGGTGCCAAACATTTTTTTTTAACATTTTATTATAAAAAATTTAGAGTCACAATAAATACAAGTGACAGCCTTCCCCCTAAGGCCCCCAAATACCCTGCACTAGTGTAACTGTCTATTACACTTTGTTAAAGGAATAGAAAAGTTTTAAAAAAAAACAAACTCAGTCCAATTTGTTTCTGCAACCTCCTGTACAGCCTAGCTCAGCATTAAAGAAAAACTGGGAGGCCAAGTAGCAAGGCCTACCTTTCTGTGTTTGCATCCCTCTGCACCAGCTATGTACCCAGAACTCCCTGCGGGTCTCCATACAACAGGAGAGGATGTGGCCCAAAAAGACCCCTGAGGGGACCAGAAAGAAGCCACAGGACATGGGGGTGGTGGGGGGTGGGGGGTCTGAGTGGCCTCTGGTCCCCTGTCCTATGAATACAAACTTCCAACACTCATGACCGTATCATCAGATAGTTTTCTGACATTAGGGGACCGCTGAGGGACCCCATGAGGAGGCCAGGATGGTCCGGGTAGGGGTGGGGGTGAGCTCCAAGTGGGAACACATGCACACACTTCTGGGTGGCAAACCCCCAAATTAACCCAGGTAAGAGGAATTCCGCTCCAATAGCATGGCAGTACTTATACACTTCTGCGTTTCCAGTTGCCCCCAGGGGGTTGTGACAGGTCATTGGGAACGTCACAAGAGTTGGTCTTGTCATTATGGCTTCCCATTCTCAAGGCTCCTGTGGAGGACCTGCACTGGTGGTTGACACCCAGCACAGGAACCAGTGCCTTTTCCAACGGCTTGTTCAGATTCCTGCCCCGAGAGGTATTTTAATGTCATGTCTGGTAACATAAATTTCCTCACAGAGTTACCTGTGATCTGCGGTTTATTATAATAGAAATTACACTGTAAAAGGGACCAATGAAAAATGGAAATTTCAAGGTAGTAAAAATGAACTAAAGATTAAGGCGTCTTACATTCTTGCCCCTTTAAAGAAAAAGCTACCGTGCATCACAGTATGTCGTCCCTGATTGAGTGGCCGAGGGGTTGGAGGGCTGAGTCAGTCCCAGGCCACCCATCCTCTCTGCCTGAGACTCCTTCTCCTGCAGGGTCAGTCTGTACTCAACTCCCAGGTCTGTCCAAGCCCCAAGCCCAGGAAGGTGTGTTCCGAGCGATGGTTCCTGAGCACGATGGAAGAAGCAAGAGTCCGATAGGGCTGGCAGCCTTTGTCACAGGCCCAAGGAGCACACTTTGCGGCTGGATGCTGCCAACAACGCAGGAAGCCTCTACTTAGAGCTGCACCATTTCTCTGCATAGCATGACGTTGACTTCCTGGGGGAGGGCCGCCAGGCACTCCTTCTCAGAGGACTAGGAGCACCTGGCCCGTGGTGTGAACAGAGGGCCAACAGCTCAGGTCGTATAAGACAGGTATTTATTTGCCAGGCACACAGAAAAATGCGAGGAATAAAAACACTTGCATACTCTTGGTTTTTGGGTGTAAAAACACACCCTTTTCTCCTCCTGAATATTGATGTCCCTCCATTCCCCCCACACCCCTAGACCTTGGGAGGAAGGCCACCCTGCCCTGGTCTCTTCTCCTCGGCCAGATGAAGTGATGTGCTCAAAACAAAAACCAAAAGAGAAAACTTGGTTTTTAACACAACAAAAAGAAGAATCTCTTGCAACACTAGGTCTCCACTGCTGTCAAAAATGTTTCCTAAACACATTATTCACACAACATGAGAAGGGGCTTACAGGAGGTTTGATTACAGTAACAGTTGTGTCTGAAGGAGGGAGCCCTGCACAGTAGGGGTTGAAATGAAGTCTTGAGCCCCGACCAGGGACAGACTAGGGCAGAGCTGCCCTGTGGGGAGGTCGTGTGTGGCTTCCTTTTGCTTTCTAGAGCGGGTAAGGAAAACTAAAACAACAAAAAAACCCCTAAGAGCAGAGCTGATCTTTCTAAAGACGTTTCTGTGGACACGAAGGGATAGAAAAACCTGAGGCTGACCCACAACAGCACCTCTGCTGTAAGGGAAGGTTCCTAGCCTAGACCCAGCCAAAGTCCTGAAATGTGGAGGGGGAGGCAGGGTACAGGAGCAGCCCCTGGGCCAGTCTCTGACCCAGGATACACCTGTCATGTGTACCTGACACTATTTTCACAGTCAGGGCAGCATATGATTCCATCCATCCAAATCAATAGGAAAAGGAAAGGAGACATTTAATAAACAAAACAAAAAACAAAACTAGCAGCCCCCTTCTGCTCCCAGCCAAGCTCCTGGACTCTGTGCCATCTTCCTTCCTCACCAGCAGTATGTCCAGAACCTGGCCCAGTAGGCCTCAGTTCATTCTGTTCTGCTGAGCAAGAGGGTTCCGAGGTCGTTGAATGAGCAGCAGCGGAGGGCTTTCCTGCTGGGTTGGTCCAGTCTCCGGCTGCCAGTTGCCTGCTGTCAGGACAAGCGTCTGCACAGTTTGCTTTCAACTCCATCATTGTGAGGTGATTCAGCTATGTCAAGTGATGGGCCGCCTCCACAGAGAGTAGGGAGCAGGGTGGGGAAGCAGAGTTGGGCCACCTGCTTTGCGCTGGGACTGGCTGCTCTCACTCGCTGCATCACGTCCAGGGGAGTGCATCTGCCTGGAGCCGGGTTGGGGTGGGGACTGGAGCAATGCAGAACTACCCCTGGGTCCGCTTTTCTGCTGGTGACGGCAAACTAAAGGCAAACAGAGGAAGGAAGAAAGCGGCACAGTCTCTCCAGGGAGAGGTCCTCCTCACCCAGCGCTGTGCTGCGTAGGCTTTGCAGCATTCTCAGGTCACTTGCTTGGCGACCACACTCGGCAGCGGCGACTCCAGGGTGGAGGACAGGCTGGCTCGGCACTTCTCTGCAGAGATGGCCGTGTGGGGAGAGGGAGGAGGGAGGCGGTCTCCACTATTTCCATGTGGCCGATTGGGGGATGGACCGTGGTGGGATCATGTCCAGGAGGTACTCGCGTTGGCGGTCGACAGCTGAGGCTGCCTTGTGTACCGCCAAGCCCGGACTGACGAAGGTAAGGGCTCCACCTGTAACAGAGGGCATGTTGGCACAGTGGGGCTAGGTCAGCTGCTGCTAGAACCCCACCCCCAAGATGACTCTGAGCAGGGTCACTGTCAATAGGACCCCACCTAGGAGGATCCCACCTGACAGAAACCTGAGCTGAGCCACAGGTCTGCCAGGTGTCAGTCTTTGAAGTGACTGATCTCTCCTCCCTGCTCTTCCCTACCTGGGAAGAAAGCCCATGGGCCAAAGCCCTCACCCCTGAGAGAAAGTGAACGAGGAGAGGCCCGAGGTAGGAGCATGACCTTTCTGTAAGGTACTCAGCCTGAACTAGTTGACCCCTCAACGTGCCCAGCCTGCTTGCAAGCTCACAGGCCAGAAACCACTTCGCCAATCCTGTCTCCAAGAAGATGCCCCATGTGGCTGAGACCCTACACGTAAGCCGTCAAGAGGGACGAGCCATGTGACAATGAAGTAGAGCCACCAATGACGATGAGCCCACTCTCAGAGGACCTGTAATAAGCTCTTGGGAGCATTAAGAAGAAACATTGACAGCGCACAGTAGGTCCTCCAAAGGAAATGCGGAAAGGCGCGCGCGTGCGCACGCGCACACACACACACACACACACACACACACGAGTGGCACATGCGTGCACCAGGCTCTCAGAGAAAATATGCATCATTACCCGCCTTCTTGAACTTTCAGCATTTTTTATGTTGAGCCAGTGTTACTTTTATACTCAGAAAATAACCACCCTCTCCCCAGGTAAAGGCTTTGGGCCTGGTGCCAATGACAGGGAGGAAGGACCAGAGAGAGGGCTGGGCTGGCGCACCTACCTGCGCTCAGGGTTGCCTTCTTCCAGCCTGGGGCGGCACTGCCTTTGCCGGCACCCACAGCCCTCTCGGAATGCTTGCCGGTCCTGGTTGCGAGGGCTGCAGCTGCGTTCTGCAGTTTGGGCGACTGGCTAAAGGTGTGCAGGACGCTGCGGGCTGTCACGGCGGGGCCCCGGGACAGCTGGCTGGAGGCCTAGAGAGAGAAGGCAGCAGGTTCAGGAGGGTGGGGGGAGGCTGGAGCCAGGGGGCCGCAGAGGGCATGAAGCTCAGCGCAACCTCTCCTCGCTCTGTCCAACCGTTTCCCACCCAGGTGGGGTCCCTAGAGTCCAAAACCAGGAGACCAGTAGGTTACACCAAGGGGAATCGGGCTGGGCAGTCAGGGACAGAGCGGGTCGCAGTCGGCAGGCTGTCTGTGATGGGGTGTGTGGGCTGGTGGGTGGAGCGGTGCGGGGCAGGCGGCCCCTGGCCTCAGTGCTGACCTGTAGTTCGGCCCCGTTAGTCCAGTTGCGGGCCTCTCCTGAGCGGAACGCTGCCTTACGCCGGGGCTTAATGACCTACACAGATGGGGAGTTGAGTAAGATCAACAGTGTCCTTTACTGATGTGCATGGCCCATGCACAAGGACAGGCTGCTCCCCCAGGGAGAGGGCTGTCACCTAGGACTGCAGGAAACATGTTTAGAGAGGGACACACAGCTTCCAGAGAAGCAGCTTCAGATCTGAGGGGAAAGCGAAGGATCAAAGAACACAGAGGACTTGACTTCCTGCTCACACGTTCCCTAGAGAAATGCCCGCTTTGTGCTCACTGTGGCTGTCAGAAAAGGAACACTTTCAGCTGGCATGCTGCAAGTGAAGGCTACAAAACTTAAAAGAAACGGCAAATTAGTGTTTTCACTGCCAAAAGCCACCATTAAGAGCAATTTAAACTTGCAACTGACAATCAGGCAGATGAGTGCTGAGTAGACGAAAGAGCTGGGAACATCTCGCCCGCTAAGGCCTGCCCCAGAGGCACAGCTGTGGGAGGCCTGGGTGTGCAGAGCACCAGAGGTCTGGGCTCACCTGCTTGAGCGCGGGGTGTGCTGCGCTGGTGGGCTCTGCCTTGGCCTGTATGGGTGTGCCCTGCTGCAGCAGCCGCTGCTCCATCTCCTGCTCCTGCTGCAGCGCCTTCACGAAGGCGGCCTTCAGCCGGCTGGTGTGCTCCACCTTGAGTGCCCGCTTCTGGCTGGAGGTCATGCAGGTCTCGCACATGATGGCACCACCTTTCTCCTCACGCCAGCGGCATGTGAAGTCCGTCTTGCACTGTGTGCACAAGTAGGGCTCACGGGACAACAGTGCTGCAGCGGCCGACACTTTGCCCGCTGGAAGAAGGAGGCTAGAGTCAGGGTCAGGGGCAGGGTGAGCACCCCTGACTGGCCCAGGGCAAGCCACAACACCCCCAATTCTGCTCTGGGCCTGCAACCTCAGGGCAACTACTACTGAAGCAGAGTTGCACAGGAGGAGAAAACGCCACTAGGAAAACCTCCCACTTCCCAGGGAAGGGAGCCTCCACCCACACATGTAGCATGTTTGGGGATGGGGGGGTGGTATCTGGCTCTCCCTGTGCTGTGCCATTGGACGGCATCAGAGAAGGGCAGATCTCAGTTCTCTGTTCCACGAGCTCCCACACCCACCAAGACCTCTCACCCCAAAGCTGGCTAGTAGAGTGGCTTAATCATCTGAACCACATAGCCCAGGTCCAGACATCAGGGGTCACCCAGAGATTGCTCCGGGGACATGGGCCACTGTGGCTTCCACAGATCCCCCCACCTCCTCCCTAAGTGTTTGTTGGGGGTAGAGCGAGTTTACTAGCAAATCCATAGGGCTGCCTGGGTCTCCACTGTTGTGGAACTGAAGGTAGGACTGGATCCTAACATCCAAGATATACACCTCACCAGGTCCCACAGACCTTGCCTGGGGCCTACCTTTGGGAAGTCCAGGTACATGAGGAAGGGGCAGGGGGGCCTGAAGGCTCCACACAGATACCCAAGACACCAGGGATGTGGGGTCAGGACCCCTGTATCCCAGCTAGGACTCGCCCAGGACCATCTTGTGGGCAGAGGCGCTTCCCCCTGAGCTGCGGGGATACGGGAGGTGGAGTGCAGCTACCCTGAGGTTGAACATTCTGGTGAGAACAAGAGACCCCAAACTGTCTCAGTTAGAGGCATCCTTGGACTTAGCTTCTCCTCCAAGCTCAGACCCAACTTCTCTCAGCCACTGTCTGTATCCTTTCACTCTTAAGAACCCCCTATGGACACAGGTACCACTCCCAGGCAATAATGGCCAGGTTCACAAAGCCACTCCTCTACCCATCTGCCTGCCCACCATACAGGCCAACACAACCACCTCCAGCAGGAGCTCAATGATATGTTCTCACAGCTGGCCAGGAACCGAAGATGCCATGTCCCAGAGAGCCCAACTCACAAAAGTTCTGGACATTTGGTAGACATCTCCACCTGCCCCCGGATCCTCCTCTGCTCTGCCCTGACCCAGGAGCCCCTGGCTCATCCATGGCCCACCCAGATATTTTTAGACCCTTCAGTCCCTCCTGCCTAGGGGCCCCCGGGCACCTTGTGTCTCCAGCAGGTTCTGTACCACTTCTTCCAGGCCCACCAGGTAGATGAACTCATTGTTGGCAGCGCTGGGCAAGAAACTCATCTCAGGGGCAGGGGGCTTGGGTGGCGGGATCTCCAGCAGCGTCTTCTCCAGCTGTTTGCGCAGTGCAAGCTTAGCGGCTGCTTGGCGGCTGGCCGGGGAGTCACCGGGAGCAACTGTGCCCACAGTGCCGGTGCTGGTACTGCTCACCTGAGCAGAGGTGGCTACTGACCCTTTCAGGGATGCTGGGGAGGCCTGTCAGGAAAAGATGCCTGTCACGTGTGGACACTCCAACACAGCCCCCTGAGGATCCCAGCTACCTGAACCCTGTAACTCCCAATGGAGTCATGAAACAAGTGAGCCCAGGGAAGCAGCACCAAACTGATTCACCTTTGGGACAATGTGTGCAGGCTTAACTGGGGCCCCGAAAATGGTGCCCATTTACATAGACAACCCAGCATGTGTTGACTAGTGCCCGCCCCCCACCCTCCCTCTGTGTGAATCCTCACAGGTGTGTGGAAGGTGTTTTGTCCTTCAGGATGACACAGAGCAGCTGGGCAAGGGATGACTGAGAGATAAACAACATCTGAACTCCTGTATCCTTGCTGGGTCATCAGAACTAAGGAAACAGCTCCAGGCCTGATCCCTGTCCCTAGCCCTCTTCCTCCCTGGCTTCCTGCACCAGTTCATTCTTAGTCTGAGTGCACAGCTGGCCTGCACTGAGTCTTATTCTTCCAAGTGCCCCAGCGTAGTCCCCACAACAGGACACTTGCTCCACTATGGAACGCGCCCTAAAACTGGCCAGGGAAGTGTCTTCAGCTGAACAGGTCAGACTCTTCAAGAAATCTGAGAAAAGGTACATTCTAAGTCCCAAGGAAGCAGGGTATGTCCGAAAGTTGGTACATATGGCAACTTGGGCTTTCCCAGGGGCCACCCACCTGCCCTGACAGGTCAGTGCCTACATATGGACACCAGAAGCCATGACACCTCAGGCTGGCTCCCTTCCTCCGAAGTCCTCCCTGGCCCGCAGATGCAGACCATACCTCTGCGCCCCAACTGGCCTGGTCCCTTCGCAAATCAGAGCTCACTGAAGGCGAACAGGGTCTGCTCACAGCAAGTGTTGAGTGGGGTTCACAGGTAAACAAGGTTCCCCTGTCCAGGCACCCCTGTTGTGGCAAGCCTCTGTATCTGTCCTGGCCTCAAGGGCTGGGGCCTGACCTGAGGAAGTCCACATAATCCTGCTCCAAATGAGGAGGCTGGGGTGGTAGATGCCAGCTGCCATGGTGAGAGCGCATGGCTCCAGAGAAAAAAGGGAGTGCAGACTCGCTGTCAGCAGACCCAATACCCAGCTATTCTGTGTTTGTCACCCCCCCCACCCCCACCCCCCATTTGTTGGCAGTTATGGGTGGGAGGGAATGGCCTGCCTCATTTCTGAAGCTGGGCACAAAGGTGAGGGGCCATGATGCTAAGAATAGACTTGCTGGCTCCACAGGAACATCTGCAGATGCACTTCCCTCTTGTGCACCCGGCAGAACAAAGGGGTGCTCCACCCAGAGAATGCAAGCCAACAGGAGCAGCGGGAGGCGGGTAAGGGTTGGGTGGCAGCAAGAGGCAGCACAGGCCTTGGAGATTTCACCTTAACTACCCCCTAAAACCTGTCCCCATACTGCTGGATTGCTGACCTGGATCCAAGCCCCTGACCCTCAGTGAGTGCCCCTGCCCTCCTTCCCCTCGACCTGCTTTTTAACCCATGTAGATGTAGTGTTTTCGCTCTGGTTTATGTCCTGCCTCATCTGCTCCCCACCTGGCTGCCAGAGGATCTTTCTCAGTAGCAGTCTGGATACCAGGCCCCTGCTTATAATGGCCCGCCCCTCACCTGAGGGATGTTGACGAGCAGACCAGCATTGGGCACGTTGGCGACACGGATCAGACCCTGCTGGATGATCCTCTGCCCCTGGATCTGCACACTGGGCACAGAAGCCCGGGGGGCCAGAAGCAGTGGAGGTGGCCCTGTTCCAGAATGCTGTCGGATATTGTGGATTTGCTGGGGTACAAAAGGAAGACAAGAGAATCTGTCTGAGATGACAACAGGCAGTGGGGGTTCTTGGCATCACACCCAGAGCCCCTCCTCTGCCAGACCCCAAAGGCCCAGATCACACCAAGCCACCTGTCTACTTACTTGGGCCCCTCGAACAAGGGGGGGCATGACGACCTGGGCATTGGGCTGAGGCCCTGATTTCACAGATGTCTGCTGCCCACCACGGACCAGGGGCGGCGGGATGACACTCCCGGGTATGCGGGCCGAGGAGGCCTGTGGAAATACCAATTGTACTTGGGAAGTGCAGGGTGGTTCAAACAGAAGGCCAAAGTGTGTCAGTATGCAGTCAGGAGCACGAGGAGGGCAGAGGCAGATGCCAGCAAGACTACAACTTACTCACTTGCCGAGGGGACACTTCCTAGGACACTAGGTCAGTGAGGTCTGCCCTAAGGGGAAGGCTCTCCCAACCTCAGAAACAAGACCTGGACACAGGTCAGTTCCCAGCTGTGTGGGGATGGTCACAGTGCATTGCCACTGTGGCCTCCTCCTCTAACTCACAATGTCGCAGCCATGGTTGGTGTTTACATAGTTTGGGGAATGTTCTCAGAGGAAAGAGCCACTGCTTCAGTCAGAGGGGTAGATGGACGTACAGGTAGGAAAACATGGGTAGCTTTACCCTCACTTTAAGTGATGCAGTGTGGGGACACTGACCTGTAATGATGGCTTGCCAGCAGGAATGTTCTGGGTGCCCCGCACAAGCGGGGGAGGGGTGGTCACAGAACTTGAGGAGCCAGTGGGCTGTGGGAGCAGAGGACAGGAGGTAAGTGACACGAGGGCTTGAGTAAGTCACTGGGATAGGGATGGGATCTCAAAGGACACAGAAGTTTTTGTTCTGTGACATGCCAGGCTCTTGGGGACTTTGCTTCTAGCCCAGAGTGCTGCCTGCTACTCACAGACACAGTGAAGACAACCACACAACTGAGGACAGGGAGTCTTCCCCCACACACCAGGCCCTCAGCACCATTTTCTGCTGCCACCGATAACGCCCTATGAGGCGGAGTGGGGAAAGCATGTGTCAGAGCTGTGAACCCCACCGCAGAAGGACAGCAGCTTGACTTGCTCAAGTCTTCAAAATATGACAAGAAAATGGGACAAATGAACGGGAAGGCTACATTTCCCCACCAGCAAGCACATGGACATAAGACAAGCCCCCAAATATGTGAAGTATCCAAGGAAACTGCAAAGCCGTCTCAGACCAGTCCCATGACAGCCTCCTCCTGTCTACACACTGCTGGATGAGTTTATAGCTTACTTATTGAAACAGTCATTCAACTAACGGGAGGCTAATGCCAGCACAATCAACCTTCCTACCACAAGGCACCAAATACTGTACAAATAAACCTGAAATTCTTCAGGTCACTTTGGTGCTCCCACAGCCATCCCTATCAGGCTGTGCTAAGAAACCACAGAACCAAGGGTCCCAGGTTAAGGAAGATGCCATATAGGTAGGGCAGTGCTCAGAGGACATGGTGCCCACCTAGCGTCCTGTCTTAAGTGGACAAGCTTAGAGGGAGGGGCTGCGGCTGTCAGTATGATGCTCTTGGGAGTCCTCCTCCTCAGCACGCACGATCCAGGGAGGCGCCTTTTAGGGAAATAAACTCAGTACAAAAATCAGCTCCAACTCACTCCTAGCAGTGACCCAGAGACACTTGTTTCCCATTTCTAGGAGTAATACCATGCTTTAGTTTGAGCAAAGTGAACTTTACATACTCAGACCCGGAATATTCTATACTCTGAAAATATACTTAAACACCCGTAGAGACCAATCCAAATATGTACTGAGTCTACAAATTTCCACCCAGGCACTGCAGTGCCCACACCACAGGAAACTCCTGAAAGCCACAGTTCCCTCGGCCCGAGACTGAGGCAGGTGATGGGTCAGGCAACGAGGGATACCGCACCCACTGTGACCTGTGGCTCTGCACAGCAGCCCCAAGCCCAGGGAGAACAGGTACACATGCTCACCTTCGGGACAGGGGTTTCCTTCTGGATCTGACTCTGCCTTAACTTTTTCAATAAGACAAGCTTTGCTTCTTCTAATCTTAATTCTTCTTTTAGTTGCTTAATCATCCTTTCTCGTTCCTCGGGACTACTTTTCTGCAAGAGCAAAAAAGGGGCGGGTTAAGGGAGAGGGTGTGGGCCAGACCATGTGACCAGGGATGGACCAAGATTGGGGCTCCCCTTGAAGTGTGGTGAGGGGGAAGAGGGAGCTCACCATGAGGGCCTCAGTGCTGGTCTCCGTCAGCGCCACTCTCATCAGCCCATTCACCCTCGGGCTGGCTGGCTGCTCACCATCAGAGAGCACGATCACATCGGGTGAGGGGGCCCTCCTCTCAGCCTTCACATCACTGCGGACAGACAGAGTGGGCATCATGATAGGGAACCAGAGTTCATGGTCAAAGGACCAGACCAGTCTGTGAGCATATAAAAACAAGCCTCTGGCCAGCTGTCCCCTATACTGTTCTTTCTGATGTCTGCAGCACTCATTGTATCCACATCCCATGGTGCCCATCTTGTGCACCAGAGGCCTTAGCTACAGGACAGTCCTTCTTCAACAGCAGACAGCACCTGGACACCCAGTTAGTCACTGTGTGACTGATGGACACACACATTCTGGAACATAGCTGTAGATGCTGAGTGTTGGATGCATGGAGCTGCACATTCCAAAGCCAGAACCAGCACTCTGCCATGCCGAAGCCACCGAAGGCCTCAGCCCTACCCTAGCCAAGTGAGCCCTCTCTGAGCCCCACGATCGATCGGGTGGCTGATGTGTATAGAGGTGGTAGAGGGAGGACAAGGACACAGGCACAACATACACACACACACACACACACACACACACACACGAAAAACAGAACTCCTCTTGAATATCTGGGCAGTCTACTCCCCTCAGAGCTATACATGTTCTTATCAGCCAGGTGTTGTTTCCCTGCTACCTTTCCTCTCCACCTTAGTCCCGTCTCAACCAGAAGCCTCGATTCAAATACCATCATTTTAGCCCCATTGTCCCCTTCCCTGTTTCTTAGCCCATTGCTTGCTCCCTTCTCCCTGCCCCATAACAACTAGGCTAAGGCTACCACTGCATGATATTTCTTTGCTATTTGTCATAACGAGTTTACAAATAGCCACATGCACAGCTAAAGAGCATGGTGAGAATGTTCTGGCCCTTCCCATCACAGCACCATGTGAAAAGCATATTGTTTGATTTAACCAGCGAGGAACACACATGTGATGGGTCCACTAAGGTACAGGTGCTCAGCAGCTGGCACTGAGACCATCAGCTCACATTGCCAGGAGTACGGAGCCCCAGAGATACACTTTGCTCCCAAACAAGGCAGGCAAGGTAGGCCCAGTCAAAAATCAGAAGCAGGACATTCAGTAAGTGCATAAATGAAACTAGTCCCTAGATGGCACTGTGACACTGAGCATAAACTTGGAGGAGCGTCTCGAAAAAGTGCGGCCAGTCTCAGGGTCAGAGGGAGCAGCCAGGGCTCTGACATGCCCTTGCGTGGCGTTTCCACTCCTGGAGTGGCTGGGATGGGCAAGTGTCAGCCTGAAGTTCTATGCGATACCACCCTAACCTCACTTCATTCAGAGTCTCAAGGCACAGCCTCCGACATCCCAAGGGAAACAGACACAAAGGAAGGGGAGTTTCAAAGCCAAGTCCCCTGGTGGGGGTGATAGTTACACATGAGGGTCACTTATACATAGTAACCGGGATGTCCTATCCCATTCAAGTTTGATGGTCTCCTCACTGGCTGGTGAGAAAAGCTGCTTTCAAGTGATGCCGTGGATCTTTCACCAGGGCTCTGTGCACACACCTGACTTCGTCACACAGGAAGATGCCTGTGTGGTCCTACAGGTGCCCTTCGCAAGGAGGAAGCCTTCTCTCAGGAACTATATCCTAGTTGTTAGACCTGACTCGTCAGCAATGAGGCCACCTTTGGTGGGGTTGGCCCCGGCCTGGGTAGATCTCAGGTTCTTCATGAGGGCCAAGGAGACACTCAGGTAAAACTTCAACGAAGGTTACAGCCTCATCAGAGGATCTTTTCAGGACACAGAAACACTAACCACACTTCCACCATTTTGCAGTGGGAGCGTATTTCTTCCAGAGATGCAACACAGACCTCAATAGGCTTCTGAGGCCAGCCTGACCAGGGCCGCAGTGCACAGAATTGACCACTTGTTCAGCTAACCATGGATTCGCTTGTTCAGACCCGTCTTGGCGGACTGTAATGAATAACCCCATCCAGGGGATGATGTCACCTCCCACTAGAGCAAGAGCAGCTTAGCATCCAGGCAGCCAGCAGGGAGTGAACTTCCTGTATGCTAATCAGGCCACCAAAATGTCATGTGACAAAGGCATTTCCCTCCCTGGTCATGTGACCCTTTAACTGTGCCTTCCAACGTGAAAACCATGGCAACAGCCAGTTCCAGCCGGTTTGTGACATGCAGCCTTCATTTTGAAAAGTGAGGTGGGGCTCAGGTGCTGTCAGAAAATGGAGGCGGGTGCACCCCGCCCACCCTCAGCCTGTTTGACTGCAGCACTTCCTGTCACTCTGGACAGGACATAGCTCTGCCATGAGGGGCAGCCACCTCTCCCGACAGACACCAGTTTTCCAACCCTGGAAACTTTATCAGTCTCAACTTTTAAAGGGAAGGAGTTTCAAGTCTCTCAGTGACGGCCCAGAAAGTTCTTCAAGTTCAAGGAACAAAACTCTATCCCTTGAGCATGTGCCAAAATAATAGTAAATAGTTTTAAAAATTAAGAAAAAATAAAACAAAACAAAAAAACCACATTTGAACCAAAAGAAGCTGGAAGAGTGGGGGGTAAAATAGGCACACCGAGGGTCAGTCCCGCTATCTGGCCACATTGACAAGCCAGCCCTCTGACTTTAGGGCTCAGGATACAGATTATTAGAACAAGAAAAGATTCAACAGAAACTCCCTATGAGCTGACCAGGTCATCACCAAGTAAACACCCCACACCCCCCTTTCTGGCTGCAAGGGCAGTGACTTCATGGAGGTACTGAAAGCATGAGCCTCGACACAGTTACACCGGCCACAGTCACAGCCACAGCCAAGGCAGCCAGTGCAGTTCATCACCTGCCACCTAGCAGTTCACATGTCCGTTCACATTTGTGGAAAATGCACCCAACAACCAGACAATGGGGATAAGCTCTGGATGAAGCATATTATGCCCTTCAGGGCCACAGTCCATCTGGCAAGACAGATACATAGATAATCAGGAGGGGGCGGGGCAGGCAGAGAGCAGGAAGGCTGAGATGTGGCAGGTGCTCCCATAAAATGGACCTGACTCAAAAGAGGTGTCTATCCTCGGCCTGACTGCTCAGGAGCCTAGACTGTTTAGAACAAGGAATCTCACCTGGACCTGTTCACTCCGAACCCATCCTCTGGCCAGCTCAAGAGAAAAGGAGAGAGAGCAAAGCTCTGTAGGTCACAAACCCTTTCCCTCAAGCAGAGAAGAATCATCCTTGCCTGAAACCATGCCCAACAAGGGATCACTGAGGGAAGCGGGATTCACTGGTCCTTGGTCCTCTCACCTTGGGTACTGACCCACCTGGAACCTGGAGATGCTGCTTCAGAGTGGTTCACAGTCCCAGGCACAACTTTCATGGTGTCAGAGCTATTCCTCAGAGTGAGTGGTCTAGGGCCACCTCAAAGCCCTGGTCTGACAGAGTGGCAAGCAGAGACGGCGGAGCCTGCTCTTCTCCGGCCCAGGTCAGAGAAGCATGGGCATAGGAGGTCCCCTGTCCAAGAGCTGGAGGACTGGAGTTTCATGTAGTGTGGTCTCTTATTATAGGACCAGGATTCCTCTTGCCTTGGCTCTTCCAACTCCAGGGTCAACCAAGGCGACCCAAACTCGAAAGTTCAGCCCGTCCCTTGGAGATGTGGCCGTGCCCTAAGGCCAAAGGGAGAGCCTCAGCTACAACGATCCTTCCTAGGCTCCAACCACACACCTGCTTTTTCCACTGCCTCAGTCTCCATACCAATCTCCTCAGCTTCTCCTTTGTGTCCATTACCAACCTGCCCTATCTGCTTCGTAATCTGAGACCCTCTTCATGGAAATGTCCAGAGAAAAGAATGAACCTGACTGGGGGCAGGAGGTCAGGATGTACTGTGCTTCTCTGCCCAGAAGCCACAGGGCTGGGCAGCTGGGTAGGAAATATGGCCCTCTGTGGTGATGACAAAGTTCCTTCACTTCACCCCATGCCTCAGGGCCACAGCGTGAGCACCAGCTTGTCCCAACCACATATCTTCTCAATGACACAGCAGAGCCACACAGTCCAGAAAGGAAGCCAAAGAGGCCCGGTTGCAATAGAAAGCAGGGCAGGGGCCATCACACCCATGGGCTCCAATGGTCAGCAATGTGCCACAGACATGCCAAAGTCTGAAGCTGCTCACACCAGCCACCCAAGAAGGGAAGAGCAGCATGATCTACACAGAAACAATGGTTCCAGCAGGACCCCAACAGCACCAAGAAAAGCTGGTCAATCCTGCAGGGAAGGGCACCCAGAAGAAATAACCACAAAGCAGGATGTGGAGCCTGGCTCTAACTGAGCTCAACTGAGAACACAGAGGGACAGAGAGTCATCGGGTGAACTGCAAAGCTGCACCCAAGCGTTGTGCAGCATTCCCCACCTGCAATGACCACAAACCTGGTGCAGAAGGAAAAGCACCCCTGTGGCCTGGATATTCACCCCAAGCAAATCCCAGGAATTTCTACCTTCACCTGGGGCACCCAGCTCAGAGGCTACAAGGCAGGCTGTGAGGACCATCGAAACTTTGTCCATATCCTGAGTGCCTTTCTGATTGTATGGGACCCGGAATAGCCAAAAATCCCAGAAACTCAATTTTTTCATCTGCAGAATGGGCTTCGTTAAAGGAGACAGTAGGCACATGCTGGCCATCTAAAGACACTGTTCTGGTGACCACCTTTCTGCTGTCATCGATCTTTGGATTCCTCCCTGAAACCAGAAGCCCGAGGACAAGGCTCTTGCCCCAGGACACCTTTGCTGCCATTGTTGGAATGGCAAGAGGCCTGTAACCACCACGTAGTCAGAATCTCAGCAGAAAGGTCAGGCAGGGCGTCACTCCAACCTGTGCATGCCTACAGCTCCTAGTGGCCTGCCTGCACACCTCAGCATGGACCACAAAGCCAAGGAGGCTGGGGACTTCTGTGAGGTCAGAAGGTATAGTCTCAATCGCTCTGGGGCAGCTATCTGCCTCCGATGCTGCTACCCTTCTGGCTGCAGTGCCCACACTGCATAAGTACCCAATGGGCAAAGGCAGGTGCCTGAACCCAAATGAGGGCGTACACCTAGCA